CTTGAGGTATTCGGCCAATCACAACGCATTGGATAGCTGGCCAATCAGAGCACACCTCGCTTTTTCAGACTGATGAGCTTTGTAAAAATCGACGCGTTTCAGAAAGGCGGGGCATAGAGGAGAAACAATAATGTTTTTTGAACCTTAAACCGCATAAACACATTTCATTACACCAAATACACCAAATAATGTTCTTTTTAGCAGCATCATATGACCCCTTTAATGTAATAGTTAGAAAAAGAATGTAACGTCTCATTTAAATATTTATGATGAACAGAAGCCTTCTCAGACTGGGGAGAATCTCTTGGATTTTAGTAGTTAATGTGATAACGCATTACAGGCCTTAACATGCCTTGATGTATCTTTTATATATTTAAACTGCACTTTTATGTGGCGTCAAACAGGGTTTAAAAAGCTTTTGGTAGCATTAATATTTTTGGTGAATCTTTAAACACCTCTTTAAAGGCATTCAGACTCACAAAATGAAATATCAGTGTTTTGATATTTTCTTATAATGAAATATCAGTTTGTTTTTTTTAAATCCTTTTTTTAATGTGTGCTTTGGGAAGATGCTGTTACTTGTTGCTTTGATTTTATTAAAAATGGTCTCGTCAGATTTACTTGTGCTTTGTAACTCAACACACTCTCAATGTTAGAGTAGAGCACTTATAAAATATATTTTTGTCCTGAGATGTACATTACTTGTCACAACCTGTCGTGCACCAAACAAGTGGCTGTGTAATGTAAAAGTGGTGTAGTGGAGTAATACTTGTGGCTCTTGTCCTGAGATGTACATTACTTGTCACAACCTGTCGTGCACCAAGCAAGTGGCTGTGTAATGTAAAAGTGGTGTAGTGGAGTAATACTTGTGGCTTATAATCAGAAAACTGCTGACTGAAAGGACTGAGCCAGTAAGTGAATTGTACAGATAGGACACTAGGGATATAAGTGTCTGATAAATTATTTATTACTTGAACACAAACATAATAAGTTAGATAAACTTGAATTCATTGAGTACATTTGAATAATGTATGGTTAAACCACTTGGCATTTTTGAGTAGATCATTTACAGTTTTTTTTTGTTTTTCTTTGCAAAAAATGTGTCTTGATTCTGTTTGCTCTTTATGGACCACAGATTATTTCTTTAAGGATATTTTAAACCTTTTAAAATTATTTATTACTTGAACACAAACATAATAAGTTAGATAAACTTGAATTCATTGAGTACATTTGAATAATGTATGGTTAAACCACTTGGCATTTTTGAGTAGATCATTTACAGTTTTTTTTTGTTTTTCTTTGCAAAAAATGTGTCTGATTCTGTTTGCTCTTTATGGACCACAGATTATTTCTTTAAGGATATTTTAAACCTTTTTAAATGTCTTTAAAATAGTAGTAGATAAAGAATTCATGTGGTGCAAAAAGTACTAATAAGTGTGGGATAATCGGCCATGTAAGTGGCTGTGAATCTGCTCTGAATTCTTAACAGTGATACAGTATAACCACTCAAGGAAATTAGTCTGATCTGATTTGTTTTTCATACATTGTTGCCACATTTTTAGAGGCCCAGTTGTATTAAAGCAAGCAAATCCTAAAGTACAGTAAGTGAATAGGGAGCCTACTATGAACACACACACACATATAGAATGCACACATAGAATGTAGTCTGAATATTGTTTAACACATTGCTATGTGTTCTGGTTAGTTGGTAATGTGTTGCTGTATGCTTGCTAGGCTGTTCTGGGTGTTTTCTTGATATTGATAGCCTTCTTCCTCCAAAGCAACTCTAAAGGAGCAGTTGCTTTAACAGAATTTTGGTGAAATTTCTATGTTCAAAATTGTAGTGATGCATGAAGCAGCATTCACACAGAAGTCACTTTCAAACCGGGCAGGTTTCTGTTTTTCAACAAGGTGTGGATTCCTATTGAAAGACTGGATTTTGCTTGTGAAATTTCACAGAGCAACGGTAAACGTGACCACACCTTTAAGGGAGGATTTTTGTCTGTTTTATCACCAACTAAACAAACATAGCTACATTTCTGTTGCATCTATTAATTAATAATACAACAAGTAGTATACATTTCCGTCACACGCTTGAGGTATTCGGCCAATCACAACGCACTGGATAGCTGGCCAATCACAGCACACCTCGCTTTTTCAGACCGATGAGCTTTGTAAAAATCGACGCGTTTCAGAAAGGCGGGGCATAGAGGAAAAACAATAATGTTTTTTGAACCTTAAACCGCATAAACACATTTCATTACACCAAATACACCAAATAATGTTCTTTTTAGCAGCATCATATGACCCCTTTAATGTAATAGTTAGAAAAAGAATGTAACGTCTCATTTAAATATTTATGATGAACAGAAGCCTTCTCAGACTGGGGAGAATCTCTTGGATTTTAGTAGTTAATGTGATAACGCATTACAGGCCTTAACATGCCTTGATGTATCTTTTATATATTTAAACTGCACTTTTATGTGGCGTCAAACAGGGTTTAAAAAGCTTTTGGTAGCATTAATATTTTTGGTGAATCTTTAAACACCTCTTTAAAGGCATTCAGACTCACAAAATGAAATATCAGTGTTTTGATATTTTCTTATAATGAAATATCAGTTTGTTTTTTTTAAATCCTTTTTTTAATGTGTGCTTTGGGAAGATGCTGTTACTTGTTGCTTTGATTTTATTAAAAATGGTCTCGTCAGATTTACTTGTGCTTTGTAACTCAACACACTCTCAATGTTAGAGTAGAGCACTTATAAAATATATTTTTGTCCTGAGATGTACATTACTTGTCACAACCTGTCGTGCACCAAACAAGTGGCTGTGTAATGTAAAAGTGGTGTAGTGGAGTAATACTTGTGGCTCATAATCAGAAAACTGCTGACTGAAAGGACTGAGCCAGTAAGTGAATTGTACAGATAGGACACTAGGGATATAAGTGTCTGATAAATTATTTATTACTTGAACACAAACATAATAAGTTAGATAAACTTGAATTCATTGAGTACATTTGAATAATGTATGGTTAAACCACTTGGCATTTTTGAGTAGATCATTTACAGTTTTTTTTTGTTTTTCTTTGCAAAAAATGTGTCTTGATTCTGTTTGCTCTTTATGGACCACAGATTATTTCTTTAAGGATATTTTAAACCTTTTAAAATGTCTTTAAAATAGTAGTAGATAAAGAATTCATGTGGTGCAAAAAGTACTAATAAGTGTGGGATAATCGGCCATGTAAGTGGCTGTGAATCTGCTCTGAATTCTTAACAGTGATACAGTATAATCAATCAAGGAAATTAGTCTGATCTGATTTGTTTTTCATACATTGTTGCCACATTTTTAGAGGCCCAGTTGTATTAAAGCAAGCAAATCCTAAAGTACAGTAAGTGAATAGGGAGCCTACTATGAACACACACACACACACACACACATATAGAATGCACACATAGAATGTAGTCTGAATATTGTTTAACACATTGCTATGTGTTCTGGGTAGTTGGTAATGTGTTGCTGTATGCTTGCTAGGCTGTTCTGGGTGTTTTCTTGATATTGATAGCCTTCTTCCTCCAAAGCAACTCTAAAGGAGCAGTTGCTTTAACAGAATTTTGGTGAAATTTCTATGTTCAAAATTGTAGTGATGCATGAAGCAGCATTCACACAGAAGTCACTTTCAAACCGGGCAGGTTTCTGTTTTTCAACAAGGTGTGGATTCCTATTGAAAGACTGGATTTTGCTTGTGAAATTTCACAGAGCAACGGTAAACGTGACCACACCTTTAAGGGAGGATTTTTGTCTGTTTTATCACCAACTAAACAAACATAGCTACATTTCTGTTGCATCTATTAATTAATAATACAACAAGTAGTATCATACCAAATTTCCGAATGCAGAATGTATGCACTAAAGTTTGTTTAAATCCCTCCGTTTGAGCAACAACATCAAGTACCACTGCATGATGAAGTGTGATGAAGAATATGCCATTGAATCTAGTTAATCTCATGTTTGTATTTTTGTATGTGTTTCAGACATGGTCCGCCGTTGGTGTACGTTGGAAGGTGGATTTCTTAGTTACTATGACAATGAGAAGAACGCTTCACCCATAGGCCGAGTTGACATTAGTGACGTGGTGAGCCTGGCCATCATCAACACTGAGATCATCACCGAAACAGGGTACACGTTTCCTGCTCCATCCCTGTCTCTTTCTCTCATGGCCTCTTGTTAATGTACTTATTCATTTGACCACCTTTTGTGAGTTAGAGGTTATGGAAAGTGTTTTAGATGTGACCCCACCTCAGAGTTTCCATACGCTAACAAACACAATAAAATGAGATGAAACCGACATGCTGGCTGACCTCTAACCTGATTAGCCTGAAATCCCCATTTTTCTCGAATTCTTTTGCTCTCGCTACTGTAACGAAAATATCCCCCTGTCCAAAAATGTGGGCCACAAGTCAGAGCTGTTAAAGCCATTAAGAGAGTGACCTTTCCCTCTGGATTAATCTCCAGCGTTCAGCTGTTTATTGTAAGAGCAAAAGACTAACAGAGATTAATCACCATCCTTTCTGTTTCACAGCTGTGAGCATGTGGGCATGTGTGTGTTCCAGTCACTTTGTGTGTGTGTGTGTGTGTGTGTGTGTGTTAATTGTACTGTTCCCACACCTCCCTCAGGCCAGTGTTCACCTTTGAGTTGTACCTGCGCTCTCAGAAAGTGCTGGTGTTTGGAGCAGAGACCTCAGATGCACACCAGGATTGGACACATGCCATCGCCAAGGTTATACGCACTCAAACACATAAAATAAGTCTTAAAAGATTTATCAGCGTTGCAGGGATTTAGCATATGTGTGCTTCTGTGTTTAAATATGAATTGCAGAGTTTGCCACATTGTGCTGTATGCATCGACTCTTGAAGTTCATTTATTGTGTCTTTGTCCCTGTTGTGTCGGTGTGTGTTAGTGTTTTTCTTGTGCGAGTGGGTGTATGCTATTACTCCTTCAAACAATTCCATCTCACTTGCCTCTCATCCCTCACACACACTCGCACACATTCCCATTTAAGTAAAGTGTGGAGGTGCTAGTGTCTAGGCTGAAATGTTTGCGTAACTCTTAGAGCTCAGCTAGGGAATGTTCAAAGGGTATTTGTGTTTGTACTTCTATCTGTATATGCTGTTTTAATGCAACTCCAGGGTTAGCTGTAGTTTCTGTTTGGCAGAAAACACTAGAAACGTATTTGTGATCTACACAAGCCCCTGACTTTTAAATGTTTTCTCTCTGCCTCTCACACGGCTCCTCTGTCTAATGTTTTTTCTCTTTCTTTCCAGTGTTTTGTCCCTGCAAGGGCAGATGCTCTACTGAGGCAGGACAGTGAGCTTATTGGCCGACTGCACTATAAAGACGGTCATGACCTTTATCATTGGCGAATGGGATGGTTTGCTCTGGTGGCCTCAGAACTCTACTTCTGTTCTGGAGATGAAGATGAAGAGGAGGGAGTTATTCAACTCAAACGCCTACAGGAGCTTAGTGAGAACAAATATGCATGCATAGCAATAGATGAACAATTCTTTTCATATCTTTCATTCTATGTTTTCCAAACCCATATGACTTTGTTCTTTTGTATTGTTTTTGAAAAATTATCAAGGCTATTCCTTTTAATATAATAAAAGTAAATGAGACTGGGGCTGCCAGTGCTTAAATTAACCCCCCCCCCCCAAAAAAAAAACCCTAACTATTAAAAAACATCACAGAAGTGGTAAATAAAATGTGTTATATAGTCTTTTGAACCAATTTGATAGCCTTGTGTGAGGAAAAGTGCTATTTTAGTATTATTTATATACTATGATAATATTTATTAATATTTTGAATTAGCTTTTTATATTTTCAGTTTTCTTTAATTTTTTGTAATTTTGATATGTGCTTTTGTCATTTTTGTATGTTTTTTATATTTATATATACCTTTAATTTATTTATATTTTAGTTTTAGTTTTAGTAATTTTAGTTCTTCATCTTAAATGAAAATGAGAAATACTGCCCTGGCAACTAACTGAAATGAATAAGCTTTTTTCCAGCTTTATTTCAATTACAAAACTTTCAGTAGCATTATTTTGTATTTATTTATTTTTTTGTTAACAGCAACAACACAGATAAGAAATGTAATTTTACACATTTTTCAGTTATTCACTGAAAATCTTGTCATCTGATTTTGCTCCTTTTGGCGTTTTTGAGAGGATTTGCAATGTCTGACTTGCAAAGAAACTGTTTAATGAGTCAGACCTTGAATCAATACCAGTTTCAATGGTTTGTTCTCAAATCGATCTGATCTGATTCTCAAGTTCAGTTTACTGATTCAGTGATTTGATTGCAGTGGTTAACAGGTCACTCGAGAAAAATATTAGCAGTATATAATTACTAACATAGCATTTTATGATACATTTATTGTGTTATTGCATCCTTTTTGGAGCTTAAAAGTGATAGTCTCTAATGGATGCACCCAGCACATTATTCTCTCTTTGTGTTCTACAGAAGAAAGAAAACCATTCAAGTTTATAGTTTTTGGGTAAACTAATCCTGAAATTGACCACTGAATGTGTTTGTATGTGCGGTTTTAATTCTAGCAATTTGTTTCACTTTCATTAGATGCTCTCTGTAAGCATTTTTAGTATTATCTGTTTAAAAAGATTGGCCATATTGCCTATTCTTTTAATGAATTACATTAGTGATGTCTGAGGTTAAGTGTCTCAGTATTAGCATGAGACACCTTGAGCCTCATGATCATCTGAAATAGTAGCCCAAGTCTTCTATGCCGCCTTCTCTGTCTCTTGCTAGTATTTCCTCGTTGGCATTCAGTGTACTAATGTTTGACTCCATTCCCACGTCTCTAAAAGACTCGTCTGGTCACACGTCTCGCCTGTCTCCAAGGGAGACTGCGGTTGCCGATGGCAATCGTGTTTGGGCGGGAGGTAGTTGACATGAGCTTGGCACCCATGGACCAGATTTGCAACATTTTCAATCAATTGCGCTAGAACGAGGCGGGAAAAATCAATGAATCTCTTTTTCTTTTTTTCCTAATCCGTTCAAGGCCAAAAAAAGGATCAAATCCAGAAAGCCAACATACTCAGGGCAGGATTAAGAGGGTGATGCCTCAACAGTTCGCGGAGCCTTGAAATGTAGCGTGGCACGCTAACGAAGCGTCTCCAGTGGTTTAAGATCTCTATAGCGACAGAACATATGGGCCTCAAAGGGCTGCAACTCTGTGAAATTAGATTAGGACACAGACATAGGCAGACCAGCAGTTCACAGCTTGCCCTATCTCACCCTCTTTTACTTGCTCCTGCAGTATAACAGGAGAGCAATGTCAAATTCATCCATTTAGCAATGGAAAAGCTTTGTGTAGAAATGACATCTGAAAGTCATACATTATATTATGTCTACAAAGAGGCTTTTGAAAGAAATTCTCTGTTTTTTTTGCAAGCAAATGCTTCAAAGCACCTCAAAATAGTTCCTGTAAACGTCCTGAATGACAGTATGGTAATGTTATAGTATTTGTGAAAGACTTTGCTGTCCATGGTCCTGAAATCTGTCACGCAAGTACATACAGTCTGATTAAAAAAATAAAAATCTAATTTAGGGCAAGTTTACTCTTGGCATCAGGTTGTGGCCGTATCCTTAAGCCTTTTGTTTTGCATCTTTAGATTCTGTGTTAAAATGATAGCGTGAATTTAGGCCCAATCCCAATTCTACCCCTTAGCCCTTCCCCTCCAACCAAAAGAGAATCGAGACACCCCTACCCCTTCACGTGAACGCGCGAAACGGAGTGACTCGATTCTCTTTTGGTTGGAGGGGTGGGGGTAAGGTAAGGGGAAGGGCCAGACAGCCCTTCAAACGAAGATTTTTTGGGACCACACTTCAAACTAAGGGGTATGAATTATCTCAGTGCAAACCGGCTACAGCGGCAACATGCCCGAGCGAACAAAAAGACACATAAATGTAAGCATTTTTGGCATTAATAAAGATTTTAACGAAAAGTAATCATTTGTTTTGTTACATTCAATCGTGAGTTCATATTTACGGTCATGTTACTCAAAAGAAATGTTTGCAAAAAATCGCTAATATTTGCTAACGTCAAATCATTATAGACTGCACGATAGTGCCACAACATATTTTCATGTCTGATAGTAAGTGGTGCTTGTTTTTATCAAACTGTGATAGTGAATGTTTGCCTCTTTTCAGTAATGGCTTTTAATAAACCTTGTGTGCCTGATAGCGCTCCTTTTCTTAAAAAAAAAAATAATAAAAAAATTATTTTCAATAACATTGGTAAACAAAATTTGCCAACCTTGAAAATAGCAAAGTGCAACAATTAAAGTGCTTGTTTTTAGTACTTAAGTTCCTATGTTTTGGTTGATTTTTGTTGAGTATGGAGTTTGAAATATAATTGAGCAATTTTGTTCTCACTTGACTTGCTTTGTTTTGTTTTTGTTTTTATTATTCTGAAATGGATTAATCTCAGAATTTATGCACAAGTGATTGAGTCTATGAATTTGATTGATTAATTAAACATAATACATTATTGATCGAGAGTTTCGGTCATTGAATATGATTTGGAATATTGGTCTGGCTCTTGAGGGAAAGAGAGAGACAAAAGGGAGTGGGAAAATGACAAATGTGAGGAAGATTATGAATCAATGACTCTGAATGTGTATGTACAGTACAACTGTGCATGTGTCTGATGGGTTCAGTGAGGCAGTTTTCTCATGTACTGCAGTAGAAACTAATGACCAGCAGCACTCAGCTTTCTGCTCCACTTACTCCAGCTGGAAAGTTTACAAAACACTAAAGCTCTCATCATTTGTTTCACTTCATGTTCCTGTTTTCTTTCACTCTTAATTATTTTCATTTCAGTTTGTCTAAGAGTGCTTTTATCATTATGTCAAGGTAATAGAGTTGTGGACTGCTTCAGCAAAGTTTTTCCTATATTTTTTCCTCAGCTGTGTCCACTCATATGGAGGGTGACAGGAAGATTCAGGTCTTACTCATGGTCGAGAGTGGGAGGTACAGTTCACTAGACGCCTTACACCATAATGCAACATAAAAGACTGCTGATATTAAGTTTTAGTAAACATGAACTATCATTCAAAAGTTTGGGATTTTATTTATTTATTGAAAGTAAGAAAGAAAGGAATTAATACTCACTTTGTGTGTATTCACAAGTGACAGTAATGTTAACAGATGTTTATAATGTTAAAAAAGATGTATGTTTCAAGTAAACACTGTTCTTTTTAACTGTCTATTCATCAGAGAAGTTCTGTTGCAGTGCTGGCGCCTCCATCTCAATATAGGATACTGTACAGCGCCACATACATTCACATCAAATGTTAACTCAGCGGTAGAGTTACACTCACGGGACACTGCACTGATTCACAATCACAAAATTAGATTATTTGCGTGTGCTTTAAAGCCTTGTCAATTAAACGTTTCATTCTCATGCTGCTCTGACATGCGCCTTTTGCGCGTACACTTAAGCACGCGCACACTAAAAAGTCTTATCAAACAGCGCCTGATTACTGGGCTAAGTTATTTTTTGCGTCTGATTGCGCTAATACTGTCAAAACACTCAAGGTTTACATGTAAACACATTTGGTTATGTCTAAAGTGAGAGAAAAACGGATGCGCGCCTGTATATTACATGCAGGTCTTAAAGCGACAGCAGGTTAAATAGTACTAAACATGCTGCCGCTTGTCATTAAAGGGGTAGTTCACCCAAAAATTTAAATTCTGTCATTATTTACTCACTCTCATGTTGTCCCAAACCTATTACAAAATGTATTTCTTTCTTGTGCTGAACACAAAAGAAGATTGAAGAATGTGGGGAACCACCGGTTGCTGGTCCCTATTGACTTTGATAGAAGGGAAAAAATACTATGGAAGTCACTGGGGACCAACAACTGTTTGGTTACCCAAATTATTCAAAATAACTTTTGTTCATTCAGGTTTAAAATAACTTGAGAGTGAGTTAATGATAAGATCATTTTCATTTTTGGGTGAAAAATCAGCTTTACCATCACAGGAATAAATTAAAATTTAAAATATATTACAATAGTAAACAGTTATTATAAATAATAATATTTCTGTTTTTGCTGTATTTTTGATCAATTAGGTGCTGCATTGGTGAGCATAAGAGACTTGAACTAATTTGTGAATTAAAATTACATTTGTAAATGTGTGTGTGTGTATGCTTTTCCTTTTTTAATACAGAACTGTTTACATACATGGCATAACCAAGCAGGACTTTGCATTGTGGCATTCTTCCATCCAGCTGGCAGCTGGGACGGACGGTATGGCTCTCGGCAACCAGCAAATGAATAAAAATGATGTTCCTATCATTGTGGATAGCTGCATTGCTTTTGTCACCCAATGTGGTAAGTTTTTTTTTTAAATATTCTTATGAGATTGAAACATTTATATTTAATTTTGAAGTATTTAACGTATCTACTTTTTTAGAAATCATTATTATTATTATATTGTAAGGACAATATAAAGTCATCTCACAAAGCTCTTACCATTGACCTTTCCTAACAGGTTTGTGTTATGAGGGAATCTACCAGAAAAACGGTGACCCGGGCCGTGTGGCCCAGCTCCTGAAAGAGTTTACCAAGAACGCTCGGGTTGTTAAACTACGGGCTCAAGACCACCGGCTAGAGGATGTCACAGACACACTCAAGAGCTTCCTGTCTTACAGTGAAGATGCTCTGTTGGCTAAAGAGCTGTACCCTTTTTGGATCTCTGCCCTTGGTAAGTGCTGCCAACCACTTAATCTGTTCCTGTGAATGAGCATTAATCTGTGTTCAATTGTAGATCAAACTACTCGGAAGTCCAGTTGGCTGTTATTAAATGTGCGTTCAATAGTTCTTTAGCTAGTGTTTGCATTGGCATTCTTTGTTTACTTTTTACAATTACCACAATAGTGTTATATGCCACACTGCCATCTGTTGACATGGATCAGCATGATATTTATTTTTTGTCTTTGGTCTTTGTCAGTCTTCTGGCTTCAGATCTTTTCTGCTTCTTCAGCTGTAGAGGCACTGATTCTCCCATTGTTTCCACTGGTAAAGCACAATAAAAGAACAAAATACGTGTTCCGTTGTCTGATTTTCGGTCTTCATCATCCAATGAGAATGTGGATTATCTTTGTCATTTGAACATGGCAAAATACACATCATATATAATTAAAACACATTTTATAGAAATTTAAGAGTGCGGTCTTCATCTCTTGTGAGTATAAACCAACACCAAACTACTGAATGCATTTTCAAGGGGCTTGTCTAGGAGTTTTACAGCAATCGTCAGGTTCTATCTTGTCATTTGTGTAAAATGCAAACAGAACTCTGTATGGATGGGCAGTACATTTCTACTTTAAATAATGTTTATTGTCCTTAAATGCAGATGAACTGGATGAGAAGGTCCGAGTGCAAAAATATTCATACTACATTCAGAGTTTACCCAAGGTCAACAGGTCAACTCTTGGTGCTCTGCTGCAGCATTTGTACAGGTAATTTCCCCTTTTTACAACAACAATATTCTGCAATAATAACATCCTCTGAAGCCAGTGACATTTCCAGTTGGTATTGTGTTGATGTTTGAAATCTGGTTAAATAGTTCACAGTAAACATGGGCACTCCAAACCCTCACTTGGAATGTCAGATTGCTCGAAATATTCTTGTAATGACTGTAATTGTTTGAAGAAGGCTTAATTGGCCCCTTTGGCATGTTTGGAGCGTAGCCTAACATTTCCCCCATGATGAACAATAATCGTTTTGTTGTCTTCAGGTCTACACAACATTTGCACCTGCCTGCTTTGTTTTTGTTGCTTATATGTGCTTTTATTTAAATCTACTCTCTTCCTGTCATAGCTTTCTTGATAAAACTACCTTAAAGTTCAGCAAACAAGAACACCGTGCCAACAAAAGCTTTTCTGATCAAATATGTTTTTCCAATGCGAAAAGTGCTATATTTATTTGACTACATACAATACTGTTCAAAAAATTAGCATCAGTAAGAATTTGTTTAAACATGGAAATAATACTTAAATCAATACTTTTAGTTTAAATAAAGACGTTTACATAAAAAAAATCTATTTCAAATAAGTATGGTTCTTTTGAACTTTCAATTCATAAAAGAGTCCTTAAAAATGTATCACAGTTTCCACAAATATATTAAGCAGCACAGTTGTTTTCAACATTGACAATAATAATACAATTTATTGAGCAGAATATTATATTGATTTCTGAAGGATCATGTGGCTCTAAAGAATCGAGGAATGGCTTTAGATTTAGATTCCTGTGATAGATTTGCATCACAGGAATCAATACATTTTTTAAAAATTGAAAAATTGAAAACGGTTATGTTCAATTTGAATAATAATTCACAATATAACAGTTTTACTGTATTTTGATCAAACAAATGCAGACTTGATGAGCATAAGAGACTTCTCTTAAAAAATCCTATAGACCACAAATTTTTCAAAAGTAGTGTAATTAAATAAAACATTTCAATCAACAAATCAATCTATGTAAATGTTACAAGTGAATTTAGGCATCATAACAGTCATACAAGCTTTACCTTGTGGAGAATGCAACAGTTTTTTCATATTACACACAGAATTCTGTGAATTCAGAAGTGTGTGTGTGTGTGTGTGTGTGTGTATATATATATATATATTGTGTTTATTTGTATGGACAGTGTGTTTACTCATCTATGATTTATATAGGTCTTTTTTCCAGCAGTATTCATATATTTATGCACATATATTACATCTGCACAGGATCCAGAGGTGCTCACATATCAACCAGATGAGCACGGAGAAGCTGGCATGTGTTTTTTCCTCGTGCCTGTTTCAGACGGAGGGACACACTGCTCAGGAGACCCGTGTGGTGGAAGACCTCATCAACAATTACATCCAGCTCTTCTCTGTGAGTTAAACATGTGTCCTCTCTCAGGATTCAGACCTTGTTGATCTCTGTCACTTGAAGTCCCAAAGTCCTGCTAAACATGAGACTGCTCCAATATTCACTCCCCTCATATTCATAGCATCATATTCACGGTTTGAGAGCCAAAAGACATTTCACAGTGTTGTTCTTATAATTTCACAGGTGTGTGCTGTTAATTAATAATTTATTCCATTATACCCTTTTTATTAGCACATGAGAGAGAGACCTTGAATTAGTTATGGTTCTGCTTCATTGGTTTTCTTGTCTATTCTAATTATTGCTCATGAAAATGTGTTGAACCCGTCATTTGAAGAGGGCTATAACAAACTGGCAAGCTGTGGCTGTTCACCCATTACGGAATATATGACAAACTCCATGGTGCTATGAACAGTGAAAAGCATTTCCATTCAACACCATAAAATGCGCAGCTTTAGTGTAAGTGTGTGAAGAAGGGGACGGTGTTCCTGTTGCACTTGGACGCGTGCCTCTGTAATGGGATTTACAGTGCTGCGCTGTGCTAATTCCCCCTTGGCCCGCTCGTACATTCATAGGCCCCCTGGCTTCACACATACACGCTCTTGTACTTTTGGAGAGAGGGAGAACGTGTGAAACGTGAAGTTTAGTGTTGCTACCAGCCATAATCTGGAGAAAATTATGGGAAATTTAACTAAAGTAATATGTAGTAGCATAACACTGAGGCATTCAGGTATAAATTTAAAGTTTACTATACATTACATTTTTGTTTTGTTTACAAATGAGCCAACTTCTCAGTTTTCTTTGTCAAACTGTTAAGTAAATATCTCAAATATCAATTTTAAGCTTGTATAATACAAATAAAAAATTTAAAATCAATCGTTTTATATTTTCTAAATACATTTAAGCATCACATGTGCAGTATGAAAAATTTGTAAGCTTACATTTAACAGTCTTTTGAAAGATTAGCTTTAAGCTTTAAGCTTTAACTATTTTCCAGTATATTTACATTTAGAATCTAAATGCTAAAATAGGGGAATGTGCCGGCACAGTTAGATATCAATTATCAGCTATTATATATCAAAATCACCTGACAACTCATATTCCAGTTGTGTATGTTATTGACCATTCAGAGGCTTCAACACGTTTTCTGACATGCCATTTGAAACGGGTCCACTTATGGGATGCTTTTTGAAGAGTTTAAATGCCCTGACTTTGCTGTTGGGGATGTGAACAGGTCTGTTTACTGTGCACAAGGGCTTTAATCTCTGTTTATCTGTGCGGGTCCATTAAAACAGGTCAATGAAGAGCAGGTTAGGCAAATGGAGAAAGAAAACGGCTTTATCGCCAGGTGGAAGGACACCACAGTAAGTCACCCCTTTTAACCTTACTGTTAAATAGGTGTGTGTGTGTGTGTGTGTTTGCGGGTGTGAGACAAAGATTTTTATAAAGCATGATGTTACAGGCCATAAATGTGTGCGTTTAGCTTTTAACCTCCTTGTGTTGGCATATATGTGTGTACATTTTCACAGGTCACAGAATCACTTTGGCCTGTATTGGTATTGCTTTGAGCAAATTAGAGCAAACAGCAAGCTCTTTGTGCTACCTAACCTTTCTGTCTCCTGCTTTATACCTCGCTGGCACCATAAGGAACAATTTGCTAAGATAAGCTGAAAAACAAATGAATCTTCCTTTGTTTGCTGCTGTCCAAGTTTAAAAAGTTTCTGTGTATGTGTTTAAGTTGGGACAAGGAAAATGTTGGAACTGACCCATGAAAAATACTTGTGAATGTGAATGTGAAACACATTCACATTCACACCCTGAAACACAATACAGTACAAAAGTCGATTTTAATTCATGATTTGAAAGCATGGTCACCACAGAAGAGATGAATGTAGGTCATTTTCATTTGAAATGCATTTTTAATGTATTTTTTCCCACAGTTCTTAGATTTGAACAGACATGACGATCATGTCACTGGCCCATTTATGTATGGAAAAACGTCTCAGGTTACGTATGTCCCTGAGTAGGGAACGAGACACTGCATCCTCTAGGGGTCGCTATGGGGAACACCTTCAGTGTGACCGGTGTCTGAAGTATATATCTAAAAACGACAATAACATTGGCCGGCGACAGCCTATGACATCACTACCGGTGTGACTATAGTATAAATAGGCGCCAGGAGAACACGTCATCCGCTTCTTCGTCTGAAGCTTGCGTCCGAAGTATGGCAGGAAACCTAGAGGACGCAGTGTCTCGTTCCCTACTCAGGGAACCATGGTTACATACGTAATCTGAGACGTTCCCTTTCAAGGGAACATTCGAACTGCGTCCTCTAGGGGTCGCTATGGGGAACGTATTCAGTGTGACTGGTGTCTGAAGCATATATCTAAAAACGACAATAACATTGGCCGGCGACAGCCTATGACATCACTACCGGTGTGACTATAGTATAAATAGGCGCCAGGAGAACACGTCATCCGCTTCTTCGTCTGAAGCTTGCGTCCGAAGTATGGCGTGCACACTTACCACCATGTGGATTTTAGAAAGTGCACAGAAGCTTAGCGTGTGCGCTTACCATAGTATGGATTTTATTGAGATCTGCTCACAGATGCCCAGAAGTCCTCAGCTACTCAATCAGGAGCGGCAGGCTCAAAGACAACCCTCTGAGGTGAGGGGAGCACTGCCTGACTTGACCCGAATAGAGGCAGCTTATCAGGGAAGCAGCAAGCGGCCCAACTACCTGATGTCACTGCCACGGAGCGACTCCTAGCTAACCCTCACAGAGAGGGAAGCACTTATTAGCTCGACCAGAAGGGGGCGATTAGAAGGGGTAACCCAGCAGGGCCCAATAAGAGACAGTCCACTGGTGCAGTTGGACACGGTCTCATGCTCTCTATCTCGATAGAGAGCATGGGTCCCGTATAACCAGATCCGATAGAATCTGAAGAAATAGCGGGACCCAATAACCATTTATGCATATAGAGCTTACTACTCCTCAGAGCAGAAGCACAAAGGAGGGGTTTCCCACAGAAACACAAATCCCTCTTACCTCAGGGAACGCAGTGTAATCCAGCACACTCCACAGAGGGGTGATTATTGGTTCAACCCTAAGGGCCGTGTGACAGGGAGGACCCACGGGCCCGACCGTCTATGGAGCATTGAGCTCAGAGAACGTTCATGAAGGTTAAGGAACGATTCAAATCTCGGGAGACCTCTCAGGGTGAGAAATGAGTAGTTCGCACCTGGCCAGAGGATAGGGAGCATGTCGCGAAGCATGTACTCAGAAGAGTACTAGCCCACGAGAAGGACCCACAGGTCCTGAGGTTGCAGCGTTATACTGGGGACCTGATGCTTGTTGTTTCTCCGATCACAAATGCAGACATGGTTTTGTTTACGTGGCGCGATGCAACGCAATGCGTAAAAAGACAGTATAAGTCATTATAATCCGTAATTATGTCCCCACTGGATGCAACAAATGCCTCGTTTGTAATGGGTTTTAATGTTTTTGCCTCGTCGCTCCGGCCGGACACGGCATCGACAGTATGGTGAGGGGCGTAACATTTCCTTCTCACGCTTGAGGTATTCGGCCAATCATAACGCACTGGATAGCTGGCTAATCAGAGCACACCTCGCTTTTCAGACCGATTAGTTTTGTAAAAATCGACGCGTTTCAGAAGGCGGGGCATACAGGAGAAACAATAATGTACAGTATGTGGAAAATAATGTGTTTTTTTAACTTTAAACCGCATAAACACATTTCATTACACCAAATACACAAAATAATGTTCTTTTTAGCAGCATCATATGACCCCTTTAACGCTAACATAAACAAACGGTCCGTGAAGACTAAGAAGAGGATGACGTGTTCTCCCGGCGCCTATTTATACTATAGTCGCACCGGTAGTGACGTCATAGGCTGTCGCCGGCCAATGTTATTGATATATAGATATATGATATATGATATATCATAGATATATGCTTCAGACACCGGTCACACTGAAGGTGTTCCCCCTAGCGACCCCTAGAGGACGCAGTTCGAAGTTCCCTTGAAAGGGAACTCATTTCAAGCATAAGCCTTTAGATTAGTGGTTCTCAACCTTTTTGACTCGATGGCCACCGACTGTCCAAGTCAATTATTTTTTAATACAATTAAATCATTTTAAGTCAACCTGTTTGCTGAGGCCCCCAAATAGATCCAAGTAGGTGATAACCAATCAGATAGTCTGTAAGAAACATGTATTTGGATAGTTGTGTCCAGACTTTTGACTAGTACTATTCACTGGCTGCAAAAATATCCATGCTTCATTGTATAAGACAGAGAATATCTGAATAAGAGTGTTTATACAATGTTCTTATGGAAAGTTACAGTAGCATATGTGTAATTTACGCTACATTTAAATACATTTTGCCAAAGCAGTTTCATTTGTTTAGAAGAGGAGCTTTAATCTGTGGTTTACACGAGTTAAGATGTTTGGCAGCTTTTGTTGTGTAATGCCGCTAAATGATGTGTGGGACTCCAGCTGTGTGTCATTTAGTCAGACACACACAGACGCTGCTCTGAACTGAATGGGCTGCTGATTGCTTTTGTATTATATCCACAAAGACTGCTGTACTGTTGGGTGCTTAGTTTCTTAGAAAAGTTGTTCAATCTTTCTTTCTTTCTCTTTTTCTTTCTTTCTTTCTGACTATATATTTATATGAATTAAGTTTGTATTTAAAGTTGTGTGTGTGTGTTTTGTCTCTCTGTGTGTACCCGTGTTTGCAGTTCTCTCCTGCTGGTGACCTGATATTTGAAGTCTACTTAGAAAAAAAGCAGCCAGAGAAGTGCTGTTTAATCAAGGTTTGTTTCCCTCGCTCTCACTCACTGTGGTGTGTGTGTGTGTGTGTGTGTGTGAACCTAGAGGGTATTCTGCCACAGACTAAATCAAACTGCAGTTAATCAAAGGCATGTTTGATTTAATTGTGAGAGTAATTGTGTTTTATCAGTTGTCAGGGTAATCCTCAGTTAATAGAGGTTGCTTCAGAGTGTTTTTTTTTCTCTTGACACTTCTTTGATATCTTCTATTCCTATTTTCCTCTCATTTCTCCTCCAGCAAAAGTAGATAAGTCCTTATGCACAAGGAAATGAAGTCTTGAACATTTAAAACACTGAAAACAGAATGATACTGATGTCTGTCTCTATAAGGTGTCTCCTAACATGATGTCGGACGAGCTTGCTGTCAGCACTCTGGAGATGAAGGGGATGGAGGTCAAAGCTCAAGATCTCTGGACCACTTTTGAGGTCATTGAGAATGGAGAGATGGGTAAGGGTCCTGCTGCTGTGAAATCTTACAGTTACACTAAAAACAATTGAAATCAAGATTTAAATTTAACTTACGGGTGAATTCTACATAAAACGTCTTTTTATAAGTGTATACCTAATTATTAGAGCATTTAATGATGTTCCTCTAAGGCGTACACACACACATTAAAATGTTTCAATAGCTAAGTGAATGCACATGATCAGTACTATTATTATTCCATGAGGGTAATGAGAAACTATTAACAGATTGTGATGCATTGGTGGGAGGGGGAGACAGGTGGTGTAAGAGTGATTTTTGCCAATAGCGAGCATTGTGTTTAGTCCTGCTGATTCATTTTTGAGATTCTAAAGAGTCTTTTGTATGTTTGGCCATAAACATACTATACACTCGTTCACAAACATTTACACAAACGTCCACTCACCACATTGCAACATGCAGTCCATCAAACGTACTTGCATGAATTGCATTCTGACACATTTTGGAGCACAATGATGTGTGAAATAGAGCTTGCATTGCTAGAAGCTAGAAGTATTATAATATTTGCATAACATATGTTAATGGAATTTCTGTTCTGTGGAGTCGCAATCAATTGTGAAACAAGTCAGATGGAGATTTGCTTTCATTTATCCTACATATCATTTATCTCTGTGCTCAGAGCGGCCCTTACACTACAAAGAGAAGATTCTGGAGCAGGTATTGGAGTGGAGCTCTCTGGAGGATCCCAGCTCGGCCTTCCTGCTCATTAAGAAATATTCTGGTTCTAAAATGACAGATTCCAACTCAGGTACCAACAATAATGCACCCCAGCAGATCACTTTAAACTATGATTCACAGATTAAACAACCTTATTGTTTCATTACATTTACAGTCAGTGTTTAAGTGGAGCCACATTCAAAGTTTAGCTTGTGGTTATTCTTAGAGCTGTGCTTACTTTTTTTTAAATATAGATCTCATATTTTTCAGCCTTGTTGTTATTCAGTATACTAAATGAACACAAGGAAGAATGATACTTTTTATTTAATAATTTTGATTTACTTTACATGTTTACATATTTTTACTAAAACTTTAAAATGCCAATGCCAACATTTTCAGGTGAGTACCAAAATAGAACATTGAATTAGAGTTGAAAACAAACAGTTTGAACTGATTACCAGAAATGAATCAGACTTTACTATACCGCCATTTTCGCTATTGAGGTTTAAATAAGAGATGCTATTAAAACTGTACACATCTGTCTCAATTCTCTCATATTTATTGTATCATATGAAACATCCCACATGGAGACCCCTGTGTATATTTTCTGGTGATGACGGTAATAAATCATTAAATTTGAGTTTTAAATCCATTAACTGAATTAACTGGCCAACAAACTCAGTGCAAATGTATAATAAATCGCCTGATACATCCTCACGCCCTAGTTACTATCAGTCATAAAGTTTTCTGATTCTGGCCTAATTTCATAACTTTTTAGAGTCTCTGTACCAATTTCCAGATCAATTTTCACTCTTGATGATAAATGGAGTAGTTGCTGAAAAGCATAGCAGGTTTTTTTTTTTTAGAAAGTACATTTACACTCTTTTTGGTTTCCTATTGAAACCATCAGTAACGGCAGCCAGAAATCATAATTTTGTACCTGCGCTGAGTAATAGCTTCTCTGCATGCCTCACTAAAGATATTAATATATATTAAGCAGCACTGTGATGCAAAGGTTTATTCATGTGGCAGGATCTGTATGTGCTAGACTCTCAAATGTGTTAAGCTGGAAAAGTGTTGCAGATGAGATTTCAGTTGCTTTTCAATGCAACTTCAGACATTTTAAAAATGTATGACACCTTGCTACAGTTTGAAGTAGCGAGGGCCGCACTGGTGCAGTGCTACAGTATATGTATGGCTTGTATGCTCTATCTCATAAATAGTTCATGGTATGACTCAATATGTTTTCTTTGTGGTGTTCTGTGTTTGTGACAGATAAACTGAAAGATTTCATTAAAGGAGAGCAACTCAAATTTAAAGACGGTTCTTCCAAACTGCTGTTGGGGAATAAGTTTCAGGACCGCTACCTGGTACTACAAGACAAAAAACTGCTGTTATACAAAGATATAAAAGTACGTCTCCTACATTTTCACTCTTAATTCCAAGTCTCCTCCTTTTTTAACAAATCAAAATGGCTTGCAAGGTCTTTAAGTATCTCTGCCCATGGTAATATGTAAATATCTCCATCCCTGCTGTTCATCGGGATCGACCTTTGCACAGTTTGCCAGCGGCCCTGCAGCAGTCGCCAGTTTACCAATTTTGATTTTCCAGCATGGCATTTCATATTAGCTCTGTTTGTTTTCTTAGCATGCATTTGCAGATGAAATGGTAATTAAAAAACACAGCGGATGTGAAATTACCTGCTTCGTGCCAATCGCAGGGGCCCGCTTTTAATAAGCGTGGAAGAAAAAAAAAAGAAACAAATAAACCCATAATGGCTATTTTCATTTTGAATTAAAGTAATGTGGGACTTCTCATACCCCCTGAAATGAGTACAGTGATTTAAACGACTGCAGTCTGTTAGGTTCTCTCTCTGTAATATCTCCTCATACTTGCTTTATTCACTCTGTGCACACGCCGATCTGCTCTTCCTCAGGGGCACACGCTCCGTGAGCTAAGACACAGTCTCCTAAAGAGTGCAGGATGTGTTAATAACTGAAATTTGAGCGATGTGTGTGTGTGTTAGACTGGGAGAGAGATGGAGGGAAGGCAGAGAGGCGAAGGCACTCTGAATGAAGGCTGTTCTTTCCTTAATTAGCGTAAGTTCTGGCTGCTGCAGAATATTCAGCTAATTATCAAGTGAAGAAGGTGGGAATTGGCTGTGAAGCAGAAATTTAATTGATATTCCGATGCCTTTGTTTTCTGTTTCTTGCTTTTTTTGTAAGTTAGGATTCTCGGTTAGATCTCATTTTGCCGTTGTTGATGTGTTCGCCTGCGCCACTCGTGTTTTGTAGTGCATTACATACGAAGTACATCCCTTCCAGGCAACAACACAGTGTTGTCGGCACATGCTAGTTTACACGATGCCCTTGGGCTCCCAACAGCTGTTTTTTCCCCTTTTGATTCAAGTGGATGAGCTGGGGGAAATAAGGCTGCATTTTATTTCTTTCACACTACTTTTCTGCATACAGTATGTGAACCAGTTTTGGTGGTGCTGATTGTTTGGAAAGGATTTTAATAGATATATTGCATTATTACCTATAATAAAGCAGCATTAAGCATGAGCTAGGTTGTATGTACTGTAAAATATGAGTAGATACAGAATTATTTTTTAATAAAAGCCCTGTGTTGATTTTGAAACATGTGCTATTGTTTCCACAGAGTACCAAACCAGAAAGAGAGGCTCCAATAAAGTCTGTTAAATGTTACTTAGGGCTGCGAAGGAAGTTGAAGCCAACAAGCAGGTAATGGTCTTTATCTAGTGCTCTACCCATAAAAACCATTTAAAGCAATTATTTATCTTTCATATTTAGAAAAATATGAAAATGTGTAATTAAGATCGATTCATAAGTGTTCTGACATTAACTCTAGGTTCATGTTCAAATGAGCTCCGAGTTCAGTCTTTATCTCTTGTGCCAAACATGCAGAGCTGCTTGGTTTAGTGCCAGATGTCCCCTCAGAAAGATGACTATCGCAGTCAATCTGAAAGCAGATTTAGATCTCACGATTACAAAATTCATTAAATGTAATTTAGCAAATACACTGTACTACTGTATGTTTTTCGCTCTCCTGCTGTGGAAATTGTTAACTGGATTTGTTTCATTTCAATAATGTTAAGATTTTGTAATTTATGGCTGTTGTGTAATTTATGAGTGCGCTGAAGTTTTTTTTTTTTTTTGCTAATGATCATTTATTCTCAATTTTCCTTGTGAATGTATCCACAGCATGATTCTTGCAATAGCATTTACCCTTAAATGGCTTTCAATCTGTTTTTAACATTATTTTATTTTAATGTTAATTTGAGGTATTGACATGCATTTTGCTTTTGTTCATTTGAGGATGTTTCTTCAACTATAGGCACTTTTCCCTGGTCTAGAAAATGAACTCTCTCAAATTACATTTCCACACTCTCATATTTACTTTGTCTACTAACAAATCCCAACAGTGGACATACAGTATATGCATCACAGGAACAGTCATGAACATTTCTACCACATTTCAAATGGTGTATTTTGTTTGATAACATTCTGTGGTGGAAATTACATTTTACACATTTTTGGAGCCTGCACATGACATGCAGGGAAAAGGCCCAAGATAATGTGGTCATTAATTAAGAATTTGTTCCACGAAAAAATTTGTGGCCATAATTTAGCTAAATTAAAACAAGGGAACAAATGAATACATCATGGCCACAATTTAACTAAAACAAATGAATAATATGTGGCCACAAATTAGTAAGTTGTGGGAACGAATTTGTGGCCACGATTTAACTAAATTAAAACAAGAAAACAAAATAATTAATACAACGTAGACATGTTTTTTCTAAAACAAGGGAATGGTTTGATCAAATGTGGCCATGATTTAAATAAAATAAATTCATACTTGGCCACAAATTAACAAGCCATGACAACAAATTCTTATTATTTTTTTCGCATGTCATGTCACTGGCTCTCTTCTAAGGCTAATTTCATAGATTGATTTTTATTTTTTTGCAACCATTAGTAAACACAATTTGGTAATGTTTTCACACTTATGGCAAAATGACTTTACCGCTTAATTGGAAAACAAAACAAAATGTGATATGAATTTATCACATGTAATATTTTCATCTCAGTCAAGCTGTCACAAGTCAGGCCTCTGTGGTTCTCTCCGACTTTGACTGGACGAGCTCTGGACTGGGCCACTGCTGCTTGGGAGGGGAAGACGGCTATCATTTCCATCATTTGACTGCTTTCTGAAACGTTTCCGGGAGGTTTTCGAGCATTCAGCGGGCGGAAAGGAGCCTGGAGAACAGTTACTCGCTCTACGACAAGGACGAAGCACAGCTGCGGATTATGCTCTCTCATTCCGCACCCTCGCAGCACAGTCAGGATGGGAGGACGAACCACTTAAACTGCTGTATCGCAAGGGACTCACGGTCGAGTTACAGTCAGAGCTCGCCTGCCGTGATGAGGGGAGGACCCTCGAACAGTGCAACGACTCACCTCGCTCACGGAAGAGATGGTGAGGACGCTACAAGCCCTTCGCGTCACCATGCCTGAGCCCAACATTCCTCCATCCGTTCCATCACAAACTATTCCCAGTCCCAGTCACTCGTCGACCAGCCCACATCTGGCTTTTCCCGAGAAATTCGACGGCTCACCGGAAAGATGTAAGGGCTTTCTATTACAATGCTCCATGTTTGTAAATCAACAACCGCAGTTATACCCCACCGACGATAGTCGGGTTTCATTTGTTTGCTCATTGTTGACTGGACGAGCTCTGGACTGGGCCACTGCTGCTTGGGAAGGGAGACGGCTGTCATTTCCATCATTTGACTGCTTTCTGAAACGTTTCCGGGAGGTTTTCGAGCATTCAGCGGGCGGAAAGGAGCCTGGAGAACAGTTACTCGCTCTACGACAAGGACGAAGCACAGCTGCGGATTATGCTCTCTCATTCCGCACCCTCGCAGCACAGTCAGGATGGGAGGACGAACCACTTAAACTGCTGTATCGCAAGGGACTCACGCTCACTGCCGAGTTACAGTCAGAGCTCGCCTGCCGTGACGAGGGGACCCTCGAACAATTCATTGATCTCTCCATTCACATTAATAATTGAATGCGTGCACGACGTGCCCCTCGCCACTTTCCTGTGTATTCTCAAGCGGTCACAGTTTCCTCTGAATCGGAACCCATGCAGGTTGGTTTCACTCGCCTCACCAATGAGGGGACATGCTGAACCAAGGGGTCATAGTCTATATTGATGACATCTTTATTTATTCGGATACCCTGGACTCACATGTGCAGCACGTGCGGGCAGATCTTCAGAGGCTCATTGATAACCAACTATATGCCAAGATTGAGAAATGTGAGTTCCACCAGACAGTTACCTCTTTTCTTGGTTACATCATTAGCGCTGAGGGGGTAGCTATGGATAACAGGAAGGTACAGTCTGTGCTCAACTGGCCTCAACCGACGACTGTAAAGGAACTCCAGCGCTTCTTGGGCTTTGCAAATTTCTATAGACGTTTCATTCGTGACTTCAGCACCATTGCAGCACCTCTCACCTCCATGCTAAAGGGAGAGAAGCGACGGCTACTTTGGTCACCATCAGCCACCGGGGCTTTCAACGGCTAAAGGAACGCTTCACCTCCGTGCCCATTCTTCACCATCCTGACCCTGAAGTACAGTTCTTTGTGGAGGTGGATGCATCCAACACAGGCATCGGAGCCATACTC